ATATAAATATTTATACATTTGTGTGTATCAACAACTTAGTTGACATTTTTTGGGAATGTCAGATGAGAGGGCCTAAAAACACCATTTAGCAATCAGCATATCTAACTGTTCTATTTTGTTCCTAATATTATTATCCAACAAAAGAAACCCGATATCCTTGGTAAATGTTTGGACTCCCTGTTGACCCACCCTGAGGAGCTCTTGTCCTGCTCATGAGTCAGCTGTCTGGGCTCTGGTGTAGAGGTTTGGGCAGACCAAGGGGTGTCAGTGACTGAGTTGTGTGGATTTGGGGAGGGGACCATTCCTCCCACTTTCTGGGAATCTGACTGGCAAGACCCCCTCAAGGATGATCTGCCAGCCCCACTTTTTAGGCTCCCCGCAGCCCCAAGCTCCCGACTGCTGGTACTTCTACCTTGAAGGAGTCTGACCAAATCCAGGACAGACTGAATTGTGTGGCTCTGGGATGAGGACCACCTCCCCACCTGCCCCAAGCCTGACTGGCACATTCCCCTCATGGGAGATCCACTAGTAACCTCCTCCCTCCTCCCGGCAACCCCCCCCCCACCACCACCACTGAGATTCAGCTTCTGGAAGAATCTGGGACAGAGTTTTGTGGTATATTTATATAATTGAACACCACTCAGCTGTAAAAGGAAGAAATGTTACCTTTTCTGACAGCATGGAAGGATCTGGAGAGTGTTATCCTACATGAAATAAGCCAATCAGAGAAAAACAAGTTCCATATGATTTCACTTGTAAGTGGAATCTAATGAGCAACATAAACTAACAAACAAATAGAAACAGAATCAGAGAGAACAGATTGAGAACTGTCAGAGGAGAGGGAGGCGGGGATAGCTGGGTAAAAAATGTGAAGGGATTAAGCAAATAACAAGAACAACAACAAAACACACACACACAAAGTCATAGACACAGACAACAGTATTGTGATTACCAGAGGGAAAGTGGGGTGGGGTAGGTAGAAGAGGGTAAATGGGAGGGGAAATGGTGATGGAAGGAGACTTGCTTTGGCCTGGTCTTCACAAATTACAATATACTGATGATGTTTTGTAAAATTATATAACTGAAAACTAATTTTATTAGCCAATGTCACACCAATAAATTCAACAAAAATTTAAAAATCAAGTCAAAACAAAACTGTGCTTTATCTCTGGACTTTTTTTATCCCCAAAACATGCTACCACTCTAATAGTGGAAGAAAAATACAAATTCTTTTTGAGATACACTTCAGAATACTTGATCTATGCTATATTCCTCAAGATTTTCAAAAACGGATTTTCAAGATCATCAAAAACAAGAATTCTTATAAACTGTCACTGCCAAGAGCTTAAGGAGATATAACAGCAGAATTTAAATAGTATTCTTAAATAGAAAATGATGTTAGGTAAAACTAAATAATCAATAAAGAGTAAATTTAGTTAATACTAAATATTATACTAATTATAATAAGTTGACCATACTAATATAAGGTATTAATAATAGGGGAAACCTTGTGAGTGGATATATGAATGACTGTGTAACCCTCTAAAATTTTCTGTAAACCTAAAACTGTTCTAAAACTTAAAGACTTTCAAAAAATTTACACTTATTGGCAGATACATGACTTTTTTTTGCCAGAAATGCAAGCTAAGGATTTATGGGAGACGTGTTGATATAGATACTGCCCCTTCCCACTTCCCATACAGCCTGGAATAGATATACCCTGCTTGGAAAAGCAGTAGACACACTGCATGTGAGCATCAGGTGGTGAACATGAAGACAGGTTTGATATTAATGCTGAGAATGGCTGAGCAGGAAGAATAAACAGAAAATATGCCCATTAAAATTCCATGTATTCACTGTGCAATTCTTAGACTACTACTCTAGACTGTCTGGAAATATATTTTGCACCTAACAAATCCTTAGATATAAAAAAGAAATGATGAGAATAAATGGCCTTGCCTAAAAAATTTCATTTTAATGACGATTGTATCTTAATATACATTGGAAGATATATATTTCCTCTAGTTCATTTATATAAATTACAAATAATATGCTGTAACACTGATATTTTATATTATAGCACCATCTTTTTCACAAAGACACTTCAATATAGATTATGTTAATGAGTGTACAAACCCACAGTTTGGTCAATGGATCATAGTGTTTGCAAAACACACATTTTCTTACATTAATGACTTCAATTATTAAAGCAAAGTCATCAGCAAATAAACAAGATTGGTCATGTAACTACAGACTCAAATACCCTAGTATGCAACTGGATTATGAAAACAAGCAGCTGTACCAACAAGATAGGCAATCAAATAGACAAAGCGTTTCTCTGAATTAATGGAGTATGTGCCGCTTGAGAAATTTAAATAAGTGCTGAAATGGTGAAACAAGTTGATTTGGGTTATCACATTTATTCAGAATAGACATGATTTAAATAAGATAACTATGCATCTACATCAGAAAATACACTGCTTTGTAGGTAATAGAGCATAAAAATGGATTTAGAAGATGTATAAAAAGCAAACTATTTAAGTATAATTAAAGTTAGCAAGTCAACAGTTGATATTTAGAAATAATACAAGAGGTAGACAACAAATTAGCTGATATATTAAATGTTAATATTATAATATGTTAAAATATGTAATTTTTAGTAAAGGCATAATCCAGTCCACTTCAACTTTATGATTTTCAGGTATATACAAATATACTCTAAGCAATTAGCCATAAGTAAAAATAATTAATACATTATGTGACATAGTTATTATTTTGCTTGATCTGTTACCAAATATACATGGTAGAACTTTTAAAATAATAATCATGAAAGAAAGAAAACAGACTCTAAATAATTTTATTATCAATAACTTCAAAAAGGTTTGATATAGATTAGAAAATATACATAGGTAAACCAGATTGTCTTTATTATTTACTTTGCACATAGTTACTTTATATATTTTGTCATTATTAGTTCTATAATACTTTTAGATTGTTTTAACTTCTTCATAAATTTACCTTTTTATTCTTAAAAAATTATTTCATCTTAAATCTACTTTTTTCTGATATAATACAACCATTTCATCCTTATTTTGATTAGTTACCTTTGCATAATTTTCTCCATCCTTTTATTTGCAATACACTTGTTACTTTATCTTTAAAGTTCATTTCTTTTAAGCATCACATAGTTGGGTCTCTTTTTTCCCCACTTAATTTGAGAAACTTTGCCTTCTAATTGGATGTCTATACTATTTACATTTGATTGATAGAGTTAGGCTTATTTTTGTCATGGTGCTATTTATTTGTCTATACTTTTCTATCTCTTCTTCTGTCCCTCTTTCTTCTTTTACTAGCTTTTTTTATTAACACTATTAGAGGCCCAGTGCACAAATTTCTGCACTGGAAGGGTCCCTAGCAGCTGCCGGCTGCTGGCCAGGTACTCCCTCCCTTCCCCCAGCCACCTGCTGCCACCGCTGGCCTGGGCCTCCCTCCCTTTCCCCTGCCAGCCCGTCCCCTGGTTGAAGTCCCAGAAGAACTCTGGTAGAGGGGACAATTTGCATACTATGCTTTTATAATATAAGATATTTTTATGATTTTATTTTGGGGGAGTTTTATTACTACAACTGTTAGCTATGTTAATGGTTGTGTTTGGGTATAGAGTATACACTTTTGATTTATCACAATCTACTGTATGTGACATTATACCATGTGCCATAGAGTATAAAAGTCTTATAATAGTCTACTTTTATTTTTTATGGACCTTTATTGTTTTACACATTTTAATACACACAAAAATTATTTACCTTTTTAAAATCTGAATGTGTTTAAAAGAGATTTAAGAAAGAGAGTATGTTCTTATATAAGTATACATATAGCTAAAATTTTCAGTATTCCATATTTATTCATAATAATTCATAATTTCTTCCGCCTGGAGAACAGACTTTTATACTTTTGTAATTCAGATCAGTTAAAGATGATTATTTAAGCTTCTGTATATCTTAAAAATGTTTATTACTCTTTAGTTTACAGAAAATATGTTCTGTGTATAGACTCTGGGTTGGCAGATGGATTTTTCTTTATGATACTGTTTACTGTCGTCTCCCATGCATTGTTTCTGATGAAAAGCTGCTGTGAAATGCATCTTGGTTCTTCCACATGTAATGAGTCCTTCTACTTGGGTTCTATGAAGATTTTTTCCTTATCATTGGTTTCATACAATTTGTTTGCTTTGTGCCTTTTTGTAGTTTACTTTGTGTGTTTGTTGTTGGAGGCAGTGAACTCCTGGATCTGTGGATTTACAGCTATCACAAATTTGGAAAATTTTCAAGTTCAAATTTTCAAATATATTTCTGGTCTACTCCCTCCACTGGGGATTCCAATTACCCACACTTAATTTTCTTTAATTTGTCCCATATATCAATAGTGTCCTTTTAAATTTTTTCTTCGCATTTTTTTTAATACATTTTTAAAAATATATTTTATTGAGTTTTTACAGAGAGGAAGGGAGAGAGATAGAGAGCTAGAAACATCGATGAGAGAGAAACATCGATCAGCTGCCTCCTGCACACCTCCTACTGGGGATGTGCCCACAACCCAGGTACATGCCCCTGACCGGAATGGAACCTGGGACCCTTGAGTCCGCAGGCCGACGCTCTATCCACTGAGCCAAACCGGTCTCGGCTATTTAATACATTTTTATGGTTGTTTTCTAGGTCACAAATATTATCTTTCAAAATATCTCATCTTTTTTTTTTTTTGAAAATGTTTATTTGTGCTTCAAAATTTAAGCCCAAGACACACTGAGTTAAGAATTCCACTTTGAGGAATGATTTTCTAGGCGGAGCATCTGCTTCCCGCAAAAGAGCATTCTCAGTTCATGTTCATTACCTTCCAGTTATGTCACTGCAGTCCCGCCAGTACGCGAGCCATACCCATACCCTCCGTGTGGTTTCTGAATGTTCCTAGTTATACTCTAATTTCACTAACTACCCACGATTTTCTGGGATAAACTCATTTTCTCTCGAATTATTTGGCTATTTTTGAAGATGAAGTCCACAGAGCTCTGAAATGATTCTCCTTTGCGGGGTAGGGGGGCACTTTACAGGCATTAATATTAACAACAGAGGCTGAGCAGACCCAGCTGGCACCACTGGGTGGGAGGTCAGTCACAACAGGCTTTGGGCAAACAGTTCAGTCCCATGCCTCACACTGCAGACACTGCTGCCGAGAGGCTTCTTCCGGAGGGTCCTTTGGGCTCCGAGACCAAGGCTGGACTCCCCCATTTATAGACATTTCATCACGAAGATCCTTCCACTCAACATCTTACGATGATGGTTTTCATGTGACTTTTCTCAAAGTCCACAGCCAACACCTTCAGCTCATTTCGGGGCTCCATTCATTACTTTCAAGCCTCAACCTGCAGGTCCGCTTCTCTTTCTGCAGATGCGAAAGGCAGGCCATTCATTGCCAAAGGCCTGAGGCCAGGGGCTGCTCGCCGACCTGGACCTGGACAGAAGGCGCCAGGACTTCCAGCCACGCCACGGGCCTCGGGATCTTAATCCCATCCGGTGTACTTTTCATTCATTCATTTTGTTTCCCATCGCTCAAAGTTTCATTTGGGTCCTTCTTTTACATGTTTCATGCCTCTACTAACAAACAAGTGGTGCATACTTATGAAAACTATTTTAATATCCTTGCCCGCTTATTCTAACTTCTCTGTCACCTCTATATTAGTTTGGATTGACTGATGTCTTTCATCCTTGGATTGAATATTTCTGCTCTTTTGCATCTCTGGGGTTTGGTTTTTTGTTTGTTTGTTTTTAATTAGAAGTAAAATATTGTGAATTTTACATTTTTGAGTGCTACATATTTTTTATTTAAATAAATGTTTCAGAGCTTTGTTCTGGTAAGCATATCCGTTGCTTGTAAACAGTAATTTATCTGCTTTAGGTTCTTGCTTTGTTAGGGGCCCCAAGAGCTTTGTTTAATATATTGTTAATTATTCCTCATTAGTTATGAAAGAGTCTCCTGAGGATTCTACTCAGTTATTCATAAATTACCAGGTTTTCTCATACAGAACATTAACTATTGTACATATCATGTGTATGTGGCAGTTACTCTTTTTAAAAATTTTATTTACTTATTTTAATATTTTTATTTTATTTTTATTGTTGATACAGATATCTCTCATTTCCCCTCTATGCCCCACTCCACCCAGACTCGCCCTTCTCTCCCTCTGGCCCTCACCACATTGTTGTTTGTGCCCATGAGCTATGCATATGTGTTCTTTGGTAATTCTCTTCACCTTCTCTCAACTCGTCTGCCCCACACACCTCTCCTCTGACAGCTGTCAGTCTGTACTATGTATCCATACCTCTGGTTCTCTTTTGTTCATCAGTTTATTTTGTTCATTCGATTCCACATATAAGTGAGATCATATGGTATTTGTCTTTCTCTGGCTGGCTTATTTCATTTTAGCCTAATAATCTCGAGATCCATCCAAGCTGTCACAAAAGGTGAGAATTCCTTCCATTTTATAGCTGCCTAGTATTCCATTGTGTAAATGTACGAAAGCTCTTTTATCCACTTATCTACTGACGGGCAGTTGGGCTGTTTGCATATCTTGGCTATTGTAAATAGCACTGCAATGAAAATAGGGGTAATGTATAGTTTCTGATTGGGGTTTGGGGATTCTTAGGATGTATCCCCAGAAGTGGGATTGCTGGGTCACATGGCAGTTTCATGTTTAATTTTTTGAGGAAACTCCATGCTGTTTTCCACAGTGGCTGCACCCACCAACAGTTTTTCTCCCCATTCTCGCCAGTACTTGTTATTTGTTGATTTACTGATGGCAGCTATTCTGGCAGGTGTGAGGTAATGCCTCATTATAGTTTTAATTCCATCTCTCTGATGATTAATGACATTGAGAATGTTCTCATATGCGTATTGGCTATTTGTATGTCCTCTTTGTATATTCAGGTCTTCTATCCATTTTTCAATTGTATTGTCTTCCTGGTTTTTAGTTGTATAAATTCTTTATATATGTTGGAAATTATCCCCTTGACAGATCTGATATTGGCAAATATGTTCTCCCATAAAGTTGTTCTCTTTTCATTTTGTTGATGGCTTCTTTTGCTATGAAGAAGCTCTTATCTTTTTGAGTGGTGGCTTCCCAATCTTGGAGAGTTTTCTCTCATTATAGAGGCCTGATGCATGAAATTCATACAAGGGCCTTGGCCCCGGATCCTGCCCACCCCTCTACCCCCTGATGCGGCCAGGGACCTCTGCCACCTCTGCCAAAGCCCCCACCTGCTGCAGCTTTGTCAGGAAGGAAGGATGTCCAGCCTAATTAGCATATTATGCTTTTATTATTATAGATGTGTGCCATGTATTATTTTCCTGGACACTTGTGGGGAATCCTCTGAAAATCTCTGCACTCCTCTCTTTGTTCTTCTTTCTACTATTTGGTTCTCTGTCCTATGAACCTTATCTACCTTTGTTTTCCTATATTCTCAGCCCTATCCCCCAACAACTTAGAGATGTCTTCTGTATTCATTGAGGTTTCTTCTCAGTGTTTCAGTCTGGAAACTCTCTCAAGGCAGTAAGCAGGGATATTCATAAGGATCAACATTTTTGCTTCTTGTTGCTTATGGATTATCATCCTTTATTTTTCCTGAGACAGTGTGTAGTAGAAAATCATTATTTTATTTCCTTTGCCCATTTTTTATTGCTTTTTATAGGAAAGAAGTTATTGTTCCTGTTACTCCATCGTGGCCAGAAACAGAGTTCCATGTAGCACCGTATTCACATTGGTACATCAGTGTGTTGTACCACACTACTTAAAATTCATTGGAATAAGAAAAAGATGTATTAATAAGGCAGCCATAAGTGATGACACAGAGTGGTAGTCCATGAACATGCAGGAATACACAGTAGTTGAGATGAATGAGTACTAAAACAGGCTAAAAGGATGAAGGAGACATGAAGTGTAGCTTAGCAAACAAATCAATGCCACTCTACTAATTCTACTTGGGTGTTTCAATCCTGAGCAAGTTATTTAACTTATCTAAGCTTTAGTTTCTTGAAGTGTAAAATTGGGATGAAAATAAAGTTCACCTCATGGAGCTCTTCAGGAGAGTTATATGCGTTAACATGAAAAATGTCTTGCACATTGCATTGATTCAATACACTGAAGTTCCCCATTTATTCTCCATTAAGATTATCACAGCATGTGGGGAGAAATATTATTCAAGACATTTTTGCTGAAGGGAGAACTTAAATTGAACTTACTCACCCTTGAGTGTAAATTCTCAACAGAAATTTACAAAAGTATAATTTCAGGAGTGGATAAAAATAAGGAAAATATAACTGCATTTCAAGCTTTACCTTGTAGAAACAAGGGGGCCCTGGCTCTCACTATGTAAAGTTTTTATGAATGCTTGAGGGATTTGGAGCGCCACAGTGGTGGTTCAAAAACTTACTTGGCTGCCTATTTCAGTTAGATAATTTCAACCAATGTTGACCTTTTCTCTCTTTAAATGTTCCAGTTTTGGTAGAATCAGCTAGTCACCTTCACTGTCCTTATATTTCTCATTCCCATTATGCTACTTAGTTTGCTAACTCATAGACTTATTGAAATATTTCAATATTCAATAGACTGCCAGTCTACCAACGTGAGTAGATGGCTGGTTCCAGAATCCTTTGAAGTTCTCCTTCCTGCAATCATTCTATCTAAAAAAGATTATTTTCTTTATGTTTTAGTGCAGATTATATACGGTATATGACTAAGGACACTGTAATCAAAACAAAATGATAATTATCTAATTGAGAATGTCCAAGTGAAGTAACACAAAAATGCACAGGATTCTTTCATCCTTCATAGTTAGTCAATAATTTACTTTAGAGGCAAAGATGATTGTACTATGAAAAGAGTTTCTACAAGGAAAGAACTTGTTTTGTGAGCCTTGGTGGCTTAGACATATCTCACATGAATACCTTGGTTATCACTAAATTCCTTCATAGTGTTTACATTTTCCTGGTGAATTCAAATGTGGATTCAGACAGCTAATGTAAATACTGATCAGTATTATTTTTCCAGTTGCTTTCCTGCAGATACTCCCCTTCTTGAGGGCACACACCTATTGTTTTTGTTCCCGTTGGTTTGGGTCCTCACATGGAAGTCCCTTTTATAATCCTGTCATGGAAAGTCAAAGAATCTAATATTTACATGGGCCACTAACAATGGTACTTGTACCTCAAGAGAGAAGTATTACCTTAGATCTCAGAATGGCATGCTCTATGGAAAAGAGCACTGGCTGGAGCTTAATCTCTCACACGGAGCACACAATGCCGTGGGCTGCCAGCAATTTGCCATCGACGTGGTGAATTGCTGCTACACACTTGAATTGGCCCATTTTAGAAGTGAGCTATTTTATCACAGAATAACGGTTTCTGATCAGATAAAGCAATCTTGTATATAATATGTCACTGGAACAGTGTTTTTAAAAACAAAACAAAAAAGTAGTGAATGGGACCAGTTGGTATGCAATATGTGAACTGTTATTTGTCTTTTAAATGTGCTGCTTTTCTCCCCCTCAAAAGTGGCTCTGGGTTGAAAGCAAAATTTTCATTTCACAAATAACATTTTTCGTATTCACATTATTACTTTGGGTACAGAAGAAACCACCTGCAGTATGGAAAAGTCATCTCAGAGAAATACAATTTTCCCTTCAGCAAAGTGAAATGGCTTCACGAAGGCCAAGTAACAAGGAGTAGTTGTCACTCAAAGGGCAGCAGAAGAAAGACCTTGAATTAAAAATTGCAGGACAGATAACTTCGATCGGCTATGCTATGACCTTAGACACGTAACTACACAGACATTGCAACTGCATAGCTGGAGCAGAAAGGGGACCCAAAGGCAGAGATTGTTTTACCAGAGTATCTAGGCTCAGTTTTCCAGATTAGGAGTTAGTCAGCTTGCTGTCTTTCAAGATATGGATTATGCTGCCTCTGTGTCAATTCTGCCTTACAAATCTGGCGTGAGTGCATATCTTTTGCACAACAGAATTAAATCCTGAAACATGGCTCCAGTGGAATCTTATGAGGAAAAACAAAACACATTCTAGCCTTCAATTCTCTGCAAGTCAAGCAAAGTAACAAAGGAAATAGAGGCAGAGTGCCAAGGCACAAGATACATGAGAATATTTTAATTGCAGTGTTGTTCATTCACCTTTGGTCTAAAGAAAAACACAATACAGTATTTTCAAAGATTCTGGCACTCTCCTGAGTATTACAGGAGAGTGTCTTAGGGCAAAGTCAGAGACTAGTAAATGAATCAGCACAATAAGTACACTCCACTGTTTTCTATGTGTTGTGTGGTTTTTTTTCTAAATTAGTTCTCAATATCACACCAAAGAGTTCCCAGCATCTCAGCTTCATTTATTGTACAAAAGCTTTGAGAATTCTGATTTCAGACCACCAAGTGAATGAACCAGAAGAATCTCTCTTGGTAGCAAGATCACCCACCTTAAACTGTAAACTCTAACAAGTTTATCTATAGGGCTATATTCACTGGCTATAAAATTACATTCTAGCTCCCATGGCCTAACACCATCAAAATCTATTCCAAAACATCCAAAATATGCAAAACCATTCACAATTTTATTTGAATTTCTCCTACTACTGAATATGCAGGGAATTAAGTCTATTTATAAATTTGGGAAGCTGTGCGATTGAAGGGTTGGAGACTAGAGAATGAGAAGATATTCTTTCCCTGGGGAAGTCTGCCTTAGGATCATTAAGCAAGACTGGTACATATTGCCTCATCCTGTGGGGAAAAGGTGATACATCTTCTGGGAGGGAGAGTTAGAGGGACTGGGGCATGGGAGTCACCTGACTCATCTAACTCCCCCATATGCTCTCATTTCAATTCCCAGGTATCTGAGAATTCAAAGGACATAATTGGACAACTTGGAAGTTTAACCTTTGAATTCTGGGTAACTCAGCTCTTTAGAAACTAAGATCGAGTATCTATATCCAGTCAGAAAAAGTTACCGGGATCTGACCACACTTGGAATAAAAAGTTTGGGACTTTGTATTTCTTTCTTTATTTAAAGTTTCTAGTTATTAGACAGAGCCAACACACACTAAATTGCGATATTCTTCATGTCCCTCATACTGTTCTTCGTCAGAATCTGCTCAATTTCCTAAGACCTTATGTTTGAGAGGTAAGCATAAACAGACATTAATTTAAGTCTTTTTTGCCCATCCTGCCAAACCCTACTGTACTCATCCTTTATGCTAGATAAATTCGTAAACCCATCAAATTCACATAGATATATCAGAATCTCATTTCACGAGGGTCTCTTGCCTGAAGTAATCCACTTCTGGTGCTAACTTCTATCAGTGAAAGTTCATGGTTATACAAGCCATTATAGTTTGTTTAATCTGGATCAATTTTTTGTTACAAGATATAATGCAGCTAATAGAATGTTGAAAGGAGTTTGGAGTCAGGTCAGGTAATGGCAACAATAACGTTATGGGGTGTTAATATTACAGGGTGCGATCAGTCATGAACTATAGATGAAACCCCAGAGCACACATACTGCCACTCACCTGAGGAAAATCAAAATAATAAAATAATTAATGGACTGAGGTTTCTTTTATACACATATCTTTAGACAACGTGATAAAATTAAAGATGGGATATAAATAGTTTGCAACTGCTAATGAGTTGATGGATCTAGGCAATGCAATCAATGGTTGGTACAGCAGAGAGTGATATTCAGACATGTACCTCCTATTGGAATTATACACTATCACTCTTAACAAACAAAATTGAAATGGAATCTGACTAAGCTTCTTGAACTAACTTCCAGTTTATTTCCAAGTATGAAAAGGGACCAAATAATATGTGAAAAAGCATCACAAGGTTATAATCAGCAAAATTCAGACCATGAAGAACTTAACATGACAAGGAATCTAATTTATTCAACAACAAAAATAACAAGAACCGCAGGAAAAAAGAAAGATGGAGCAGGCAGAACCTAAGTATTGAAAGAGAATTAAGATGCACATCAATAGATTGTAATGTACGGACCTGATTTGGATCCCACTGTAAGCAAATAGAAAAATCCAGCCAATCAAATAACAGAATTTTTTTAAGACAATTGGATAAATGTAAATGTTAACTATGTATTCTGTGAGATTAAGAGATAGTTAATTAATTTTGACATAATCGTATTTTTCCTTTTAAAAACCTCTAGCTTTTAGAAACATATAATAAAATATAGAAGAAATGACATGTTGCTTTAAATTGGTTTGAAATAATGCAGGAGTAAGGAGACATGGGCATACTAAAACAACTCTGGCCATGTAATGATGATTGTTAACGCGGGGTGATGGGTAGTCCTCCCTCTATTTTTGTATAGATTGAATGACTTCATAATATTAGTTTTTAAACCTAAAAACGAGAGAGAACTAAATGAATTGTATCTGGTTTTTTTTTAGTGAATCACCTGAACTTGAAAACTTGCTAGAGAAAAAGAGAAAAAAGACCTGCAAAATGTCTAACACTTGCACACACCTTTGGTGGTTAAATCTTCCCAATTATTTATTCAGTGACCACATGATACAATGAGGTGGGTTTCTACTTCTCTCTTCTTGCCTCACCACCCTGTTCCCAAAAACAGCTATTTGGAGTTGCCTAAGCCAGCTGAAGCATTATCTTGTCTTTTTTTTTTCTTTTATTTATTGTTGACAGTATTACAGATGTTCCCCATATCCTCCTTCCTTTGTCCCCCTCCTCCCAACCTCTCCTCTCCCCTCCACAGGCCTTCACCACACTATTGTCTGTGTCCTTGTGCTATGCATATATGCATATATGTTTTTTTTTATTTTTGTGATATTTAATATTTCTATTATTGACACTATGAAAGATGTCCCTCATTTCCCACCCCCCTTTGCCAATTTTTTGATTGTTTATTTTTAAGATAAGCAGCACCTACACATATGTTTTCATCCACAGAGTGCTACCTCCAGATTTTTTTTTTATAGAAGGGAGTTAGGAGCAGTTATCTACTTAGAAGTCTAAGTGAGTGTGTGAGTGCCTTGGTGATGCTCAGAGT